ATGTCTCATTGCCCATTAGCTTGTGTCTTTTCATTCGTCTTTTGAAACAGACTCATTGAACAGAGAATGCAGGGAAAATGGAAAATATCATAACTGGACAAAGCCTTGAAGATGAATACATTTATTCATATTTTTCTTCCTTTCATATTGCAAGATAAGATGTGAGGACAGGCTCAAAAGAAACACAGGGTTAATGTGAAGCTGCTTTATTTCTTGTGTCTGATTGTGTGTGTGTGTGCGTGTCCACTGTAGAGAGTGTAAGAAGGAACAAGTGTATCTGACAGGACAGGTGGCTCCATTGTGTCTCGAGCCATATCTTCAACAGTCAGGGGTTTATGTATGTAAGACAAGGAAAGAGATGGGGGTCAGCGAGGTGGAGAAAGGGAAAGAGAAACAGCCTACGTAAATGTCAGGTCTAAATGCGTGATGGATAGATATAGGAATTAATGTTTATACCATGATGATTCAAAATGTTCATACTATGACAAGCCTCAAAAAACAACCCAGAAGTCATCATTTTTCTGACAGTGACTCACTATTCTGACTTGGAAAACCATGAATAAAGAAAATGCTGGAAAAGGATGGGCAGAAAGGCAAAGGCTTTACTTCCACTTTCCTCCATGGGTGCTTTTTTGAAAGTGCATTTCATTCTAAAAATATCCCTGTGAATCAGCAAGAAGCCTTGATGTCTTGGTTGTAACACTACTGTGAACCATTAAGGTAGGATCACAGGGAGGTTAAGAGGGAGTTAGAAGGGAAAATGAGAGGTCTGGATCACCTTGGGGTAGTTTTATATATTCATGGACATCTACACAGGTCCAGTTTATATTGATAGCCCTGAGTCACTGTTCTTGTCTCGATGGGCTTCACAGTGACCACCATGGGAAATAGTAAATGAAACCGACATTACCCAAACAAAGAAGCACCAAAAAGGTGTGTCAAGCCTTGAGTTGTGACGCTCAGAGAAAGACCTTGCCAGAATAATCAGGGGTTGGGGATTAGGTACGACCAGTTGTGCTCTTCTGGGAGGCTTGGAAATTGCTAGAATTACGTTTTTTTTAATGTTTGAAATCATCTTCCATCCCCCCCACCCCCACCCCCACCATCACCCCCTCGGTTGTGCTGTTCAGTCAATGCCCAAACCGGACACCAACTGATGTAATGCTTTATTGCAAGCACTAGCAATCTTTGATCTTTCGCCACTATATTAAAGTTCATTAAGTTATAACTCATACAGAGAGATCAGATATTATGTGTTTTGGCAAATTAATTAAGGTCTGTCATTAATCCAGGCTGTAGTCAAAGCCAGCAGGATTATATCATCACTACTCAAAAGAACAGTGAACAATAAAAAACATGAGTTTTAAAGAAAAATGGTCATTGATCTGACTGTTGTTGGTCAGTGCTGTGTCTTCTTTGCAACAAAACTGTTGATCAGTTGAGATCAGACAACTATATAGTCTTTATCATCATGTCTTTGAGAAGCACAAATCTCTTTGTTAAATGATACTCAGGAATTGAATATCTGTTTGAAGTAGATTTATTTTTCACCTGTTATTCATTTAGTTGCACTATTCTGTAATATGAATATTAAATAGACTCATATAGACACTTATCAGATGGTAGAGTAGAGTCATTTTACTGGTGTTTCATTTTGCTAACGGTTGATTTTTGAGCCATGCCTAGACTGTTGGGAAAATCTCAGATTTAACTTGTATGCTAAAAAGGTTTAGTAGAAGGGTGTTGAGATTTGGGGGAGCTATGTGTCAACCCCTAAAACATGCAACATACTATTCAAATAAACATTGAATAAATTAATATAAATCCAGTATAAACAGATTGCACATAATAAACACATCAGAACTGTGAATCTGGTGCAAGATATGAGAGGCAAAGGTTTGCAAAACATTATTTGGTTTGATGGGTCAACATATAGTGCATTGTGGCAGGTTTTTAAATGCCAGATTTGCGGTTGTGATAGTATGCATACACAAAGATACTGACTCAGAACACAGCCTTCTTCAAGTTCTCCACAGCTCATGTTACAAAAACATGACGTCATATGGTTGCTGGAGTCACAGTGACCCCAATTTCAGACCTTCCCATCCTATATCCAGACATACTGTATTCATTGTATATTGTATTGTGCCTATATACAGTTGAGGCAAATTACAGTGCAACACCACTCAGTATGCAAATAACCCCTTACATCACCTCTGCTTACACTTTTCCTACACTAAAAAACAAATTCAGTGTTGACTGATTTGTTTTTTGTTTTTTTTCACACAAACTCTTGCACGAGCACTTACATGATCTACAATTTCAGACAGTATAATTTTAAGGATTCCTTTCTTGGAGCTGATCCTGAATGAAAGTCCTAAAAGCTCTTTGAGTTCATGAATACAGGTCAAAAGTTTAGAGGCGAGGACAACCAGAGCCACACAGCATGTGGGGAAAATAATTTGAGCTGCAAAAGTACACAAACAGCTTGTGAAATATCATGAGAGCTGTCTGCGAGGAGGCAGCATTATCTCCAATTAGAACAGAGCATCTTGTGACTGCAGCTTGTCATCATGGGTTAACTTGACCAGCACAATGAGGCCCTTCACCAGACTTTCTGCAGAATTGAAGGAGGTAGAATTAATTTTGTTGACTGAGCTGAAGGCTTGTGATTCCACAAATCCACTCATGAATACATTGTATAACAGAGAGTTGTAGTACTGCAGTTTATTTTCATTGACTATATACAAATGTGCATTTTGTAATCCTACTGCTCTGTGAAAATAACACCCTAATTAAATATTATAGTACTCTACTATTTGCTTCTTGGCACTTTAATACTTCACACAGGGTGAGGAATTGTGAACTGAAGGTGAATGAAGATAATCAGATATTAAACCCTTTTTTCTTCATCTAATTCTATCGTTTAATCCTTTGCTCTTTACCAAATGTCTCCAGTCATTTTTGAGATATTTTAATTCTACATTGACTCGATCGATTGAAGCCAGCTGAGATAACAGCTTTACCATCTGAACATGGTCTTTGTCTTCTTAAGCAAACACCATTACAGCCACTACTTAAGCCTCTACTTGTCTTTTTCACTTAGACTGACTCTCAGCATGGACGTCCTCACACATTAAAATGTTTTCTTCCAATTTTCAGCAACAAAGCTTTTATTGTCTAACTTTGTGAGCTTCATAAGTGACATTCAGAGGGCTGTTTTATTAAATGAATAGTGAGTAATGCAGTGGTTCAAAACAGTCCCTCGCACAGGGTATTTCTGACCTTCTTTCTGACGTTTCTTTTTTTGGTACTCCTTTTTTTGGTTTTGGCCCACAAGCAACTTCATGTGGTAAAATTGTAGCTGGGGTTGATAGCTAACATTTTCAAACCGCATTAACCAACTTATGTCATAACTTTCCACTTCAGATTTTATTGAAATGTTTAAACCAGTGCATCATCTCTGTTGAAAGTTTGTATGCATTCCTTCAGGTTTCTGGATGTTCTCCTGTGAGCCATGTTTACTGGAGCACAGAATGGCTACAGTGTGTTGATGAGCAAATGTTAATAAGTTTCTTAGCCCCCTTGTCAAAATATGCCAGGGCCAAAATCAACAGGTTTATAGTATAACAGCAATGTGAGTATATACACAGTTGACCTATACGGCTCATATTTTAATGTATAATAAAAATAATAATATAATAATATAATAATGCCACAATGTATTGTGCAACTACTTGTGCTAACACTTTTGAACACTATTGAACACTATTGAAGTTGGCAGCATCATTGCAACCATTGGAAAAAAAAAGTTCTGTGCCTAACTTTATAAACATATTCAGTTTGTTGAAAACTTTTGAAGATCTTTAGTTGAATTTGAAATTAAATTCCGTGGTTTTGAAACACTCAGAATGCATTTACAATGATCCACCCACTGAGGGCTCTGTGGGCCGCAAAGGTTAAAGCAACATTTAAAACCAGCTGAGTTTGGGAAGGAGGTAAAAGAGATTTCCAAAGGCAGGGGGTTAGGACATGTGCTCTGTGTGTGTGCGTGCGTGTGTGTGTGTGTGTCTGTGTGTGCGTGTGCGTGTGCGCATGTGCGTATGCGTGTGTGTGTGTGTGTGTGTGAGTGTGTGTATGCATTATACACACATGTTCACATTGGTGTGTGGCAGGGATATTGAGTTTTGACACTGGGAAGTGAGTGAGGGCAGTGGTGGGCCTGTGTGTGTGTGTGTGGTCATTTGGGTTAAAAATAAATGTATTCTATGTTGATATGATACAAAAATATCAGAGCGAGTGAAACGATTTGTGGCTGGTGTTAATAATTTGAGGTTTGGCTTGTTTTTTTTTTTTTTTATTCCACAGTCCCTGAGGGCCCAGTACCAACTTAGTTTGACTGAATCAGTGCGGCAAGCTCCAGTGTAGTACGAAGTACAGTAGCGAGCAGCACGGCTGAGAAAAGTATATCAGAATATAAACTCACTGGCAGCGACTTTACAGTGTGGTCTCTGGCAGTTCAGCCCTTTGTCAGTCAAATGAAATTATTAGCACTTGGCACAAAAACCCACTCTTAGGCCCTTATGGAAAGACTAGTATGTCGTAATTTTTGTGCCGTAATTCCCCTGGTTTGACAATGTTCACAATGCCCTCTATCATGCTGTGTTTGTTGACTTTCCTGATCGGGAAATCTGTCTCCGGACCCTCCTGTCCGAGCTCGCAGGACAGGACTGACCACACGCTATGATCAGTCAGGGTTCAGCATATAGCCTGATCCTGGAAGTAACACTTGGTCACGCCAGGATGTAGCATGCCGTGAGATATTTTAAAGCCAAATTCAGTCACTGGGAATGGAGGAGTTGTAATAAGTGGTTTTACTCAAAGTGAATCTCACTCATGCTGCGTTAAACAGTGAGTTAAACAGTGTATAGTGCACAACTTGTCCAGACATATGTGACTAACTTTCATTCTCCTTTTTCTTTCTCTGTACCCTTTTGTAGATGTCGGAGCCTAAGGTGGATGCCCCCTCATGTGAGCTGGGCGGAGCAGGAGATCGAGGAGGTGTGTCCCTCCACCTTCCCCCCCGCAGCTCAGAAGGTGAAGAAAGCAGTCTATATCCTTCCAGCCCCTCGGAGCCCCCAACCCTTGGCAGTCCTCACCCCTCGGAGCCACTCACCCCTTTGGATGAGGTCTACATGCCCCTTGGAGGTCTGATGGGGTCCGAGGAGCGGCATAAGGTGCCTCCCACACCACCTCCCTCCACCGAGGGTGAGGATTGCAAGAGCATGGAGGGAAACGAGATGGAGATCTGGAGAGAGATGAAGGATTTGGAGAACAGAAGGGAGGAGGAGGAGGAGGAGGAAGATGGGGCCAGCAGAAAGAGTACTTTAAGTGAGGGGGAAGAGAAAGAAGAAGGAGGAGAGGAGGGCGAGATGAACGACGAGGAGGTCAACCTAAACCTGGTGGTGTCGAACACAGATGAGGACAATGCCTCAGAGCCACCTGACACCAACGCTCCTCCATCCTCCTCCTCATCTTCATTTGTCATCCCTGAGCTGCGCCTTGATCGCTCCTTTAGTGCCGATGCCCTCTCCTCACCCAACACTGATGACGAAGACTACGATGAGGATGATGACGAGGAGTCTGACGAAGAGGACGATGAAGACGACAGTGACGATGCCTACCTGCAGCGCAGTGACAGCAAGCGCCGCAGCATGGTGGAGGGTGCCACCTGTGAGAAACATGGAGGAGGGGGGCTCAGTGTGCAGAATTCCCTCCGCAGACGCACCCACAGTGAAGGAAGCCTCCTGCAGGACCCCCGCACGCCATGCTTCACCTCCGACAACGCCATCAACTGCCTAGAGGCGGGGGGAGCACACCACAAGGGCGGCTGGACACTCCCATCACCCAAAACCCTGAAGAAAGAGCTGACCAAGAATGGAGGCTCCATGCATCAGCTGTGTATGCTGTTCTCTGGGAGGAAGGTAAGCAGCTTCACACTTGAATAAATTACAGTATGTGCTGAGTCACGTAGGAATAAAGTTAAAAAAATACAGCACTGTAGTAAAATTCAGCCGCTGCCATGGTTAGAACACATTTTCTGTACTTGGGCGACATGGGTCATTTCTAAAACAGGAAGAGAGTGTAAGAATTTTGAAGGACCAAAGACAGTAAAACATACACACATTAGTACTGGCATTTGGTCTATAATAGCATTCAGACTATTTCAGTTTTTCTTTCTAACCTCACATACTGAGTACTACAGTATGTCCCTCCTATCCATTGCATCAGTTGTGCATGAATGATCCCAAAGTTACGGTTCACTGGTTTCTGTAAAAATGATGACATCAAGTGGTAAAATAGAGCAAGTGCACAAGAATCCTGTCATTCGTGTATTCTACAATATAAATCATACAAGATTGTTCTGTCTCAAGTGTAAAAAAGTGTCAAGCTCATCAAAAACAAAAGGCCATAGTGATTTTCAAAAACAGTAGACAGACAATAGCCACATACATATACTGTATGTGTACATTAGACATCTTAGCAGTGTATTGCAACTAAAGTTGTATACCAGTACAATCTTATGCATGAATACACTCCACGACTATCTATAGCAAAGAAATACGTTTAATAAGTCTAAAACTATTGACTAATTGCATGACAGAGTTTGACAGGTATATTTGAGATGCATCTATGTCATTGTATGCAGGTTAACAAAGTTAAAATATTAACTGTACAAGGAACAGCATCTAGCCTCATTTGCATAAGCCCCCTGCAGAAGTCAAATATAAGCAGCTTTTCTGGATCTAAATATGCTTCCACTACGCAACACAACTACCTTGTAGAAAATGTATACATGCTGAAAGTTTAGTTTGTCACATCACAAAATAGGGCAAATTCACCTGTCTCCAATTTCTGTGATGGTATTAAACATTCTCTAATACAATGAACAAGACATTGCAAAACCATAACAGATAATGACAACAAATACATTTTTTTACTAAAGCAATCAACTCGTTATGCAAAGTACTTATGCCTGGTTTCACACAAACTGCACATTAGTTTAACCTTTCTGCAAAACACTTACGTCTTCATAATAAAGCACATGTACACTGATATTTACATGCAGAGAGCACTGTCATTTAGTTTAGTTTCCATAATTCATATAAATAAACATTGTATATTGTTTAGTTGAACTCTAATGTCATTATGTAGAATACATTAGCATTTGTAGCAGAGTGAAAAAGTTATCATGAAATTATGACTTTTTATAGAAGTTTGTTCCCCACATTTTTACCATTTGATATTTTTTTAATTTAATATCTCCTGTAGGATCAGAATTTAAAATTTGTGTGCCATCTGAAACTATAAGAGATGATTTTTTTTAATATAAAAACTGCACCAGTTTGTGATAAAAGTTTGGGCAAGTTTTTGGGGTTTTCTCCTTTGAGGCAGTATCGTCAGCAGTTCTGAGAAAGGAATAAATGTGCAGGTGGCAGTTGCTCTTGTTGTCCAACAGAGGGAAGCATGCGTCAAATCATGTTAGCCCAGCAGCCTCAGATGCATGTGCGTCATATCTTTTCTCACTTCATTCTGGCCAAGGTGACTTATTTTCTTGTTAACTATGACGTTACATGTTTTCTGATCATTTCTTTAGTAGTATTGCATTATAAATGGAATGCAGACAGGTCATCATCTCTGCAGCGATTTCTTCCAGCAACACTATCATAGTTTGAACTCCAAACCTGGAGACTTATTTCATCAGTATCAGTTTGGTAATGATTGTTTCTCAGAAAAGGAACACAAGCAAATGGAAAGAAAAAGGAAAAAAAAAAAGAACAAGACAGTGAAATCAGGGCTCAACAGACAACCCACCGACTTAATGATAGACATATGACAGAGGTAATTAAGTGCTCACTTTATCACTATAGAATATCAGAGGCACTGTTCCTTTTCATCTACATCTGCCTTCCCAGAGTTTGTCAGTACACTTGGCAGCCTTAAATGGCAGTGTGTGTGAACTTGTGCAGAGGAGGAATGCAGCAGAGAGGGCTGGAGCCTATTGGTCTTGGCAGATTCAAGGGTAATTTTACTACCTATTGGCGTCATGGACACTGTTCCTTTGAGGCTTGTGTTTCCATTATTTAAAATGATCTGTCATCTCCCCCCTCATTCATAAATCTTGTGACATCTCTAGGTGCAGAACCTGATTGTGTGTGTTTTTGTCCACGTGTGTGTGTGTGTGTGTGTGTGTGTGTGTGTGTGTGTGTGTGTGTGTGTGTGTGTGTGTGTGTGTGTGACCAACCTCTGACCAAGAAAACTTTATGGGATCACTGAAGACTAGTAACACAGATTCCTGAGCCTGCATGAACATACTGCCTTCATTTCATGACACCTTCAAAGTTTTTCCAAACTTGTTGGCCCTCATTTGCAGCACCGCGGTGATCGAATGGGCAGAAATCTGGTTATAATTAGTTCTAACATATCAGGAGTGTACAAGCCTGAAAAGGAACAATTTTCTTAAAACATTGGAGGTAAATGCTAAATAACAGTACTTCAAACTATTTTTGATATATTGTATTTTGCAGAACATTTCACTCAGTCACAGTTGAAACATTATTTAATATAAAAAATATGAAGTAAACCTTTGCTTCCATGCTAATATACTACATGCATATTTCATGTCAGGTGTGAAGAAACAATGCTTTGTGGACTAACATTAAGAATATAGCAAGGACATGTAATGCTTTATGTTATAAGTCTTGTGGTTTACATGCAATTCATTATTTAGATGCAGAGACTGACCAAATGGAGATCTCAGACTTATTTTCAAGTTCCTTTATCACTACCATTTCAGTGACTTGTTATCCAGGACACTTTACAGTGACTTAAACACGCACATGTGTACACTTAAAGCTTTTGGCTGTATGTATAGTTAGTATGTGTGACTGTACTGTCTCTGCCGTTTTTTAATGTGAACCCGCTGCCCCTCCTTCTCTGTCTCTTTCTGTCTGTCACTTCTCTTGCCAGGCAGTGTTTACTTGCCCTTTAACAAGCACCGACTCTGGTCCTGCGTTTCTTTCCGCTCTGCACCTTTTCTCTCACTTGATCTCTTCAGAGGCCTATCATCAATGCAAGGAGAGCCAGAGACAGACAGAGAGCAGGTCAAGAGAAATAATGTCAGTTTGTTTGACTAAGAGATTTTTCTTGACAACTGCTTAAAAGAAAGTGTTATTCCTGCTACTGATGGCTGAAAAATAGTGTTCAAACCTTATAAATCAAGCCTGCTTTATATATCACTTTTCCAAAAAAGTTATAAAGTGATTTGTGAACCAGAAGTAAACTAAAATTGATCTTAAAATTGGAAAAAATGCAAAACACACATTAGAATGACAAATATTAGTTTTATGTGATTAATCTGTTTTTATATTGTATCTGTCATATCAACATTAAATCGGATGTTTTCTAAAAATACATTTACCACAAAAATACCTTTGGAAATAGCTACTGCCAAAGATATCGCTGTTGGTTGCAATTGAAAGGCACAAATTGTTTAGAGGAATGAAAAAAAAAGAGTACTGAGAATGTTGGGCCAAGAATTGATCCTTGTGGAACTCCACATGAATATTGAGCCTTGTTGGACAGGAGAGGACATCCATTTATGTAGGAATCTTTCTGTTTACCAGTGCTAACAACTGCCTTAATCTGATGAGGTAGCATGGTCCACCCGTCAAATAGTGAAGTCACACCAAACCCTCACCTTCCCTGACATCATTTGCTATCATTTGCTACCCTGTTGAGGACAGTTTCAAATCTGCTAAAAAATCTGCTGTTAATGGTCTTTGTAAAACTGTTTCCAAATGACATAGTACCCAAACATTGAGGCCAAAGAAAATATGAACTACAAGAGCTACTACTATGCCTGGATGATAAGGAGAATCTTTTGCAGGCACCATAATAACACTATTAAAATGGATAGCTAGTTAAAATGGAAATTTAAAGGGATGAGAAATCCAGAGGTAATAAAAAAATTCCACTGATCTGTTTCCACTGACAGCTTTTATCCACGGTAGCACTCCAAAGACCGAAAAATACTAATTTCCATCACAAGGTGAGATGCATGCCTTAAATGGCTATGTAAGACTAAATGACTGCATGTTCTTTTCCGAGCAGACCATTGAATTAAACTCTTAATGTCTCTGTCCAAAACTCTCAAATCCTACTTGTTTTTCCAAAAATCACACTATCAGTCATCTTGTGTCAGTTTGTGAATATGTTGCATCCACACAGATGTTGCTGCAACAGACACATGTGGATTTAACGCAGTGCTTTTTGGTTAAGCAGGCCAAACATTTTGTTTATGGGGTCTGAATGTTTGTTTGAAATCTGGATAAATATCAGCTGTCTTTCCAGATGTTGGGAGGAAACAATTTTAATGTGTTTACTGATGGTTGTGCGATGGCTTACATTCCTGCGTTGTGTCAAGGATACACAGAGGTGCATAGTATAAAATGAAAATAGGTTAACATGCATTCAGACTTGAAAACAGGTGTGCTTACGGGTAGTGTTACGTGTTCACGTACGCACACACACACTCAGAAACATAAATAGAGTTGGTATACTGGAATGGACACTTGCAGGATGAATCATAGTGTAACTGGTGTAACTATACTTCCAGCGAGGTGACCAGTGTTATTGTAGAACCAGGTTGTGATTCTCTCTCATCACAAGAAGATTGTGAAGGGAAAAGAGGGGAACATGTGGCAGACAGTGAGAAAACACAATAACGCAGAACTCTTAATCAGAGGGAGGCACAACTGCTTGTATCCTTTATCATTTTTATGTCGTTAGTCCTCTCTCGTTTATATGATACAATCTAGATATTTCTATTTAATGGTGGTGTACATGTGCACAGGCTAAAGCAACCAGCCTAAGCACTACAGGATGATCTAACACCAGGCAAACAGTACTCACCGCTTCTTCT